GGACATCAGCCACAAGCAGAGTTGTATTGAGCAAATATTTCATGTATTTCCTTCTGTTGTCAGTCTTTCTGTACGTTTTCCAAATATTAATTTTTAACTGTAAAGTCTGGGAATTTTGGATTATAAAGATGCAGCAACAGACAGCCAAATATGCCGCAGTCATCCTTCAGATAGAGGTTAAATGTGCAGTTTCATGTGGTTTTCAAGACGTCCATATGCTGTGCCTTGTCACATTCTATTAAAAGCATTATTTATCTGTATAAAAACATTTTTCTCTGTCTAGTTTTACTTCCTTAAATAAGTTCTTCTTCACTGCCTACTTTGTTTCTCCTTTTTTTCCTTCACAAAAATGTTCAAACTAACACAGTGCTTACATCAGTTCTAAATTCCATTTCACTACTGTCTCCTTCAGTTTTCTCCTACTGAAATAAATGGAATTTTTGTTTCAGAGAATCTAATGCATTGTTTCCTTGTGTATATCTTACAGAAATATTCTACCTTATGACTTCAGTGCATATTATGGTACTAATATGAAACTACCCACCAGAAAAATATTGGCAAGCATCTTAATGATGAGTTTTTTGTTTTTTAAGCAACAATAAAATAGGAAAGCTTTTGTTCATCCTTTCTTTTTTAAATTTAACAACAGTAACGATTCTGACCTGATATTTAAATCATCTCAGAATGAAGAGCAAAACCTGCATGGCATTTTCATCCCACTATTTGGAAAACTCATCAACAAACTACCGGTTTTGAAGGGATAAAAAAGATCATTTGAGCCATATAAAATAATGTCCTGTGCAATATTGTGAGTGCTGCCCTTTAGCTACTGGTTTATATCTGCCATTATCTATAAGCTCAGACTGGACCTGGGCACTGAATGCAGCAGGATAAAGAGGGGAGTTTTGCTTCCAGGGTTAGGAAAAAGCACAATCCACAAGTTCCTACAGGTAACAGTTTTATGGTCTACATGATCAAAAGTTCTCTGCTGGTGCTACAGGCCTGCAAAATGCTCATTTGGATCAATCACCCAGAGATAGATGAGAAAAATTACCAGATCGCAGAAATTTCCCCCTATTTCCTCTACTGTCCCCCAGGAAGGAAAGGTATAGTCAGAAGAATCTAAATTATTATGTAAAATATTAGCATTTGGAATATTTAAGTCTTGCCTTGACCTTTCCAAAATGGTGATGTAGATTAATGCTTCCTTTCTTAAGAACATTTTAAATTCCTTGCTGTTAATACCTTGTTGAAGGCTTAGAGTTAAAATCTCTTTTCTTACCGGAGCTTTTTGCGCTTTTCCTTTCTTACTGTTTGCTTGTGAACCAGACTGTTGGAGTGAAAGAAGACAGAAATCAACTTTATGGAAAAATATACAAATGACAGAAAAGAAAAAAAAAACAAAAATAAAAGAAAGAAAAAAGAAAAAAGAAAAAAGAAAAAAAGAAAAAAGAAAAAAGAAAAAGAAAAAAGAAAAAAGAAAAAAGAAAAAAGAAAAAAGAAAAAAGAAAAAAGAAAAAAGAAAAAAGAAAAAAGAAAAAGGAAAGATTGACTGAATTTTGGTCAAAAGAGATTATATATATTACAGCAAGGAAATAGCTTTATTAAAAGTTTAATAGTTTTGTTTTGTGGTGGTTACTCATGTAAAATGTTTATTTCTTTGTGGATATCTGTCCAACCATTTGTTTCTCAAGACATTCTCACCCAGCCCATCAAAAATACAGGGGATCTCAGAAATGAGAATCTAGACTTGGAGAAATACAACATTGCTTTCCAAAAAGCACATGCACACACTGAGACTGATTTACTGCTACAGTAATAGTACCTGGAATAAAATATGTTGTGTGTGAGAGGTGTAGCAAGGTCAGAATATATATTGTATATGCCCTCTGATACCATTCATTCACAGTATATTTCTTCAGGTAAACAGAAAGCCTTATGCTTAGAACAATGTTTTGTTCTAAATTTTCGAATTTAGTATCACCAAATGGCCAATGTTTTATTCATCTGTCAGAGAAACACATCCTCTATTCTGTGTCATGAGCCTGTAACAGGCTAAGTGTTCCATGGGGATGTTTAAAAGGACAATGGTAGTAAAGAGATCAAATGAAGTAAATCTCACTGTAAGAACACATTTTTTATTGTACCATTTTGCTTCGAGATTCCAACAGTCTTGTCATTTCTTTCTGAATATCCAGAACTCTGTCTATGCCCTGAAATTAAAC